GAGTGTCTATATTGAGACATTTTGATCTCGGCAAGCGAGATTTTGCTACAGCCACCGGGCCAGCCCACTTGTCCATATAAACGTATAGTAATTTCATATAGTGAAAGTAGCTACACAGTGATATCTCACTTACTGGGCTGTCTCGCTAAGCGGGCCAGCCCGGCTTCCATATAACAACCTCTTGGGCTCATTCAGCAAGCCAAACACGTAATAGTAAAGATTGGATGGGGATGGTTATATCTTTCCTCCTGATTGGAGATATGCTACTGTAGTTTGCTTGATACTTGGCATAACACAAATTTGCTTTGGTCTATAACATCTAGCATATGGTTTAGCTGCTGGAATGAACTCTGGAATGACAAATATCATGCTGACAACTTGACAAAAGAGAACGACATTATTACAACAACAGAATACAAATATAGGAAATGTCATCTTACCAGCCAAAGGACTGCCTTTGAAGACAAGTCTTTGTAATTCACATGGTATGTCTAACTCTCGCTCTATTTTCTTTTTCACAGATGATACTGCGTCTAAAGGATCTACCTGTAGTGATTTAATAGTGGAATCATCATACATAAATTTTTGAGTTGAATCACTTTTATTACATGATCGAAAAGAAATCTAACAATATTAGGTGATTCTACCGTATTATGTATTACCTCAATAGTTGTTTCTTGACTCCCAAGTAGTTTTACATAGATTTTCATACTGGATTTTTTTAGAAAAATTGAAACTATTCGATGCTTTCTCTGTAAACAATGCGCTAGATCGTAGCAAAATGGTATACACCACTGAATGTAACAATAGCAGGCTCACACATTTGTAGCCTGCATGGCAGGCGGTCCCCAAAATCGGGCAAGCCTGGTTTTTTGCAGGTATAAAAATAGGTACGCCCAACGAACACATACTTGGCATTTGGCATGCAATTCAACAACTTGTCAAAAAGTTGTTGGCGTTAGACAGAGTAAACTCATCTGTAAAAGGATTACGGGCGTCCACACTCGATATAATAACTGTGATATAACTAATTGTACAAGGGTTTTTAGACAGCAATTTCACAATTTAGAACAATGTCAGGCTGTGGTTTTTACGTGTACTTTGTGCATTGAATAGAAAAATTGAGAAGGTTGAAAACAACACACCAACAGAAGCTTGTAAATTGTGTATTTCTATTCCAACAATGGAAAATCTGTCTGAGAAAATGTAGTGAACACACACAACTCTAGATATATCTATACAGCTATACATTATATATTACAAATTCTTGTATAAAATAAGAGATTGCACTCACTCGGTTGAAGATCAAGTAATGGTAAAAAATATGAATGCATTTTGGACGCGAGTCAGGAACACATGGGAAGGTTCAATGTATGAATGGTCCGATTCACACTACAGGCACGATCTGTTTGGACGAACACGGACAAAAAGACAGTTCTGTCGAATAGCTGATCCGTCTTTAGTATTAAAGGCACAGTTCAACCTTTTGAATGATGGGTTTTTAAGGCGCATTACAGCCCTTTTAATTGAAAAAACTAACTAGGAGAATCAATTAAGCATAATTCAAGATCAGTGATCTCAATGTTTTTAACATTTCTAATGTTAAAAAACATTGAGTTCACGGGGATCTTGAATTATGCTTATAAACTCATTAATAATTCATGAAGAAAATTCAAAAGAAATGAATGTTTAATTAATGTTTGTATAAAATTGCATAAAGATTTGTCCTGATTTACATAAACTTCAGCTTTGATTTTCTCGGCTTAGACAATGTTTATTTTTAAAATTTCTTCGCCAATGAACTCATAAGATGGGACGTGTTATAAGCACGATAAAACATTCGCATCCGATCTTTATCTGACATACAAATATCAGACATCTTTCATATCAGATAAAGATCAGCTGCTCATGTTTTATCTAGTACATACTTAATTGATTTTCCTAGTTGGTTTTTTTTCAATGTAATGCGCCTTAAAAACCCCATCATTGAAAAGGATGAACTGTGCCTTTAAGTCGCGGTCGGACGAGGGTGAAAGTTGATGAGAGTTGCAACTCTCGCTCGCGTTTGACTGCCAACTCTCATAGACTCTCAATATAACTCTCATTCACTTTGAGCTGGTTCAAATTTTAATGATAGTTGATAAGAGTTTTCGCTATCGTGCGGTAATATCAAGTCAACTCTCATGCAACTCTTGTTCTCGTTTGACCGGACATGAGAGTTGAGAAAACTCTCATGCAAACTCTCGCTTCTCATCAACTCTCATTCGACCAGGGCTTAAATCGGGTCAGTCAAAACCATGTGCGAAATATCGACATTCCCTTCTCGTGTATTCCCTAACGTAACAGAACCCACTCGGCAGGCATAGTATGTACACATTATCTCAACATTCTCCCTCAATTTCTTCCTCCCCTTCGCCACCCTCATCGTTATTCTCCAAGAAACCGTTCGCTTCCTCGTCTTCTCGTTGCGCCGTGATCTGCTGCTTGTACGCAAGTGCGCGCGCGAACGCTTGCTGTACGGACTTGCGCAGTGACGGCTTCTTGCCCTCGTACAGTTTCGTGTTGTCCACGCCGTTGTTCTGTCCCAGAAGCGATAACTTTTGACGGGGTAGCCATTGCCTAGCAAGTCAAAACACAATAATTTAATTGTGAACAAAATTCAAAGGAAATGATTGCAGTAAGGATTGATTGATCAAGATTGCAATCTAAGCCTTATGTTTTTTGAAGGCTTACGCCCGTATTCTAAAAGCTCACTCACACTCAATGAGTGGAAGTTCAATCTGAGCTTCTCTCGATGTTTTTGAATAGCTGGAGGGCTAGTGTCATACCTTACTCGGTGACTACTCACCCTCCAGCTATTCAAAAATAGCACTGACACTCAAGAGAAGCTCAGATTGAACCCTCCACTCATTGAGTGTGAGTGAGCTTTTAGAATACGATCGTTATTCATGAAGTGTTGCTTTCAGCTGATTTACTAATAGACAATCAAAAACAGAATGCATACCATAAACAAGCAACAATTTAGTGTAGCAATGAGTCCGTTTCCTCAAACATTTCATACAACCTACCCATGCAAAATTCCTACTGTTATCACAGAAACCTATCAATGTTTAAAACGTTGGCTAAAAACATATTTAGTTTAGAGCTGAAGTGAACCTTTGACGTGGGCATGACGTGCACGTGGAGTCTAGTGCGGGACTGCTCTTGCCATAGGTCATAGAGTAAACTAATTATTTAGAAGTAAAACGTTCAAATAGGAGCGGATGATCATGTTTCGTGCGTCATCTTAACTAATCACTCCAGGAGAATTGACTAGCTCGATCTCCAAATCATCATTCGCTCCTGTTTGAACGTTTTTCTACTTTCATTCTTTTCACACATATATAGTTATAAATATCTGTTATTACTTATTAGAGAAGGGAGGTGCCTTGCATGGGACTACTATATAGTCTCGTTCGCACCTTCCCTTTTGGGCCAGTTGATGTTGTACTAATTATTTTAATGTAATTTATGGCACCAATAAAGTTGTTAATTAAATTAAAAAATTAAAATTAACTTTGATAGTGTAAATCAGGCCTTACTTACCAAGTTCTGCGAGCATCAAAGAACAAAACCAAGTACAAATGCTCATCGGTTGGTCTGCGTTCTTTCAAGACATCGTCAGGAGGCACTGGAATGGGAACCCCTTTGTGCACGAAACCTCGCTTCGTTTTCGGATTTATTATCTATGAAAAACAAAAACGTTTTGTATCAGTACTGGTGAAGATCCAGGCTCGCGGATCGAAAGCACTGTCCAATAAATAAACGTACAACAATACTTACCAGCGCAGGATATGACGGATAGCCCCGGCACTTTGCCCATACCAGTTCGAGAAATTCCAACATATCCGGTTCAGTGTCAGAATTCCTAGGGGAATAAACACCCCCGTTACATTCACTATCTGTCGTATTTATGTCCTCTTCAGAATTACATCTACTTCGCGCCTTCCGACCTCGCTTTTTCACAAACCCTATGAGGTCATTCGTCTTCTTCTCCGTGGCATCTTCGGAACCGCTCGTATTACTTCGTGAAAGCCTCGGCTTCGGCCGTGAATTCTCTTTGAAGTTATTCCGATGCGGTTCAACAGCGGGAATCTCCTTGACCTCGGGGACATCTTCGGGATAACTGTTCAAGCGGCTTGTCTTCCGTCCCGGATATCCCTCATTACCTTGTGTGTCCTCAGGGTACACCAATCGATTGAGATTACTCCAGTTATTTTCATCATTCGAATCGCTTGCCGTCGATTTTCGCCGTACATCGCCGTTTTTCCCGAGTACTTCCGGAACGTCACCGTTCTCAAATACAGGTGGACCTAAATTTGTCCCCAGGTCCTTATCATTGTTCTTCATGTGCACATTATGTCGAGCGCGGAACTTATTTTTATTAAACAAGATCCCGCTACGGCGGTTTGTACCTGGTCGCGGGTTTGTGATGCTTGGCGTTGACGCTGCATTCCCCACAGGCTCAGCGTCCCGCTCAGCGTCCCTCGGGTTCGTCACCAGGCTTATCTCGGACATATCCGACGCGGTCGTAAGGTTTGGAGTCTCGTGAGAGGTGGGCGTTGTTTCGGGAGATAATTTCGGTTTCTTGGCGGGAGAAAGACCATCTTCGCTGTCGACAACTGCAAGAAGGAATGAAGAGTTTGAGTTGATTCAAGGATATTTTGAATTGGAGTTTTGAATTGGAGAATTGGAGGGACCGGTCATTATTTAGGGCGGGGGAGGCACCGAAGAGAAAAGTTTTCCCCTGGTTGAAAACTTCTACAAAAGGCTAGGATACCATTCAGTTGTCACACATATCCTTTATCACTTGTGCAATTTTCTGCAGTCTAAAGTTTTCATGTTGTCTGCACATGTACTTTCTTTGGAGACACTATTTGACTCCTGATAAATCGGAGAATGATGAAGACAACGACTCTGATTGATTTACATATTGTATTGACATACGACTGTTGACATTGCTTTTTAGTCTTCAATATTTAAGTAATACTGAGACTGAGGCATGGCCGGATTTTGATGGGAGGTGTGAGGAGGTGCACACCTCCCCTGAGATCGTTTTGCACCTCCCCTGATAATTTTTGCACCTCTCCTGAAAAGTCATGCATCTCCCCTTGGGAATGTTTCAATGATAGATCAAAGTAAAATTTTGGTTGCTTATAGGGTCTGCACTTCGTAAGAAAGTTTTTCTGTAAAATTGAAACAGTGATAGCCATTCATCTCTGTGTCATGTACCCTTTTAATGCAATGTTTCGAAAGAAACTTTGTAGTAATTGTAATGAGTTGGATGAGTTGTACAGTCATAATTCATTAATACACTGATACATATGTACACTACATGCATACGTCACGTCGTTGACTTTGGCCCATTCTAAGCCCTAACTCATGGGGGTCGTGAGCTAGACCGCTGCACCTCCCCTATATTCCCCCCCCCACTCTTTCCACCAAAATCCGACCTTGGACTGAGGCTTCTGAAATACGCAGACATACATCAACGACCTCACAGTATTCAATTCTAATTCTCATACAGAAATCCATGCAACTGTCAAAACCAAGCATGCCTTACCACTAGGTTCCGAGATACTCTCTCGTTGCTGCAGATTTATTTTCCTGCGAAGACAAGCAACTTCTTTCCTGATCTGACGATTTCGCTGAGCTCTAGCACCTGGAAGTTTTTTGTAAGAAACTTTAATAGACTTCAATTAAAAAACAATTTGGTAAAGACTTTCTTTACTATTGGCTATTGCCCTAACCTTATGCTTAATAATCCTCGCCTTAATTAAACCTAACCCTTGGGATCTCATTTTGCGATAGTAATATAATCATTTTATGGATAGTTCACAAAATATTCTGTTGTACACTAGACAACAAAGAGTCTCAAATTTGACTTCCACTACATCAACCAATCAAATGCGTTTAATCTACCCGATTAACCAATCAGATTCGTACTGAGCCATACTGGAAGTCAAATTTGAACATCTCTATATACTTCCAGACTTACTTCCAGACTTGATAGCTTGCGTCATCTCCAATTTCTCATTCAAGTCCTTCAACTGTTCCTCCAGACTCATGTCTTTACGTTGCTCCTCAGTCAGAATAAAATCTAACAAGTGCAAAATTCCAATAAATTTGTATTTCTTTTTATCACAAAATTATCTTCAGAAAGCTTTGCTAATTTCTCATGCAATTTCCATCCAAAATCAATTTGTCCTCGGGCAAAGGTTCTTAAAGAGATTAGTTAATTAATCAGTTTCAGACCATACCTTCCTGTGTGAGTTCTCTGTCCTTCACAGTTGGAACATCAGGCGTTAGAAGTCCTGTCTCCGGATCAATGCCAGTCCTTTCAACCATCCTTCGAGCACTTCGTACTAGCGTCTTGCCTTGGTCTCTCAAGCGTACAGCTGCTCGATAGTAGATCGTGTCCTCTCCATTGTATGCCATGCAGTTTTTCCAAATCAGATTGAAATCCTTCTCAAATTCGTCAAACGTTTTGTAAACATTCCCATCGATTTTTTCCCTCATCGTCATGAAGTCCATCGGTTCTGTGATTACATCAAGGTAGTCTAATACCTAGCAATGACAGACACAACATGCTGGAATGAAAGCTAGCCCACATATGCAGGGGGGGGGGGGAGGTTGCAGATCTTCCAGGGGAAGTAGAGAGGGTGACCTCTAGATCTGCTTTGATTTCATCTGGTTACAGATTTTCCATGGAGAGAATACAAACCTCATCTGTATCGACAGGTTCCAGAAAGATTTGTCCAGGATCTTTTGCTTGTAGTTGGGTCAATGTCTTTGACAACACCGTCGTCAGAGGCTTCATTCTCAAGTCCACGACACTTATATGCGACTTCAACTATAAGTGATATTGGCACAGAGAAAATATTTTAATTATCCTCAAGATTCAAATGAGTATGCATGAACAGACTTAAGGTTCGGTCACACGAGGCGAAAATCGCAGAGACTGATTTCTGTCCCTGTGACAAGTCGCATGAAATCAAATTTCATGTGATCTGTCGCTAGGATAAAAATCAGTCCCAGTGAAAAGGTCCCTGCGACCAGTCTCTGCAACTTATTGCCTCATGTGATCAAACATTTAAGTCTGGTTTGCATTATCAAAGTTTCTGTGATCACAGTAGGAATTTTGCATGGGTAAATTCTAAGTTTTGAAGGATTTGTAAGAAATGTTTGAGGAAACTTACTGAGTGTTATAAAGGATGGTTTACACTATCAAAGTTTCTGTGATCACAGTAGGAATTTTGCATGGGTAAATTCTAAGTTTTGAAGGATTTGTAAGAAATGTTTGAAGAAACTTACTGAGTGTTATAAAGGATGGTTTACATTATCAAAGTTTCTGTGATCACAGTAGGAATTTTGCATGGGTGAATTCTAAGTTTTGAAGGATTTGTAAGCCTCCGTACTAGGCTGTTGTGGTATATCGATATATTTCTATTTTTTCTCAGGAGATTCAAATCAGACTTACGTGTTCTCTCTTTAGCTTTTCTCTCTTCCTTATCAATTCCACAAGTAGCCTTGCTCTCTCCAAATCATGTCTCAATCTCTGCCAGAAGTGCAGTTGCTCCTTCATCGCCGCTATTCTTTCGCGTCTTTGTTGCTGCAATGATTTGAAATAAATGTAAGTTAATATATTGCATATAACTTAAAACATAGCTCCAGACAATTTTACTTGTCAAGAGGTAATCATAGGGCAGTAAGGGGAAAGCAGAGTGTCAATGTTCTCATTCAGAATGGTGGAATTAAAATTTAACATAAAAAGAAACACTTTAGTTAAAATTTTAATAGCTTACATCTTCAGGGCCACTTGCTCGATTTTGATGAGTGGCTTGGAGACGTCGCAAGAGTGGCACACCGTTTCGCGATTGTCGTTTGAGCATCCAGTATGCTTGCAGGCATTGAATGAACTGTGATTTCTTCTGAACTGCTACACGACTGACAATTTTACTTATCCTGAAAACACAAGGTGTTATAAAGTATTTGATAAGTATACTGTACATAATGGTTCTTCTTATAGTACTTGAAATTGTAAATTGTAAAGAATTTTAAGTATAACTTGAAAGATTTGTATTGCACTTCACTTGCTTGAAACTGAATATTGGAGTAGATATATCTTTCAAGTATATAAACCCTTCAAGTCCACCTTATCACAATCCGCACACTTGAAAATCCATGAATACATAAACTTGTGGAGTTGTGGCTAATACTCACCAACTGGCCTCTGTAGCTCAGTTAGTTAGAGTGCTGCCGTTAGAGTGCTGCCCCAGAATCGTTCAAATTCTGCAAGAGGACCTACTGTAGTGTTGAATTTATTTTCAACCATTCCTGGTTAGGTATAAAAAAAGTGTCTATATATTGTCACTTGGATTATCTATCTACTCCAATATTCAATTTTAAATTAAAGAGCATTGGCACAAAAAAATTAGTTTGTCTCATTCAAAAGAACTCTTAAAATTATATATTTATAAACTCGATTACTGATTTGTCATATCGTGCTTAGTTCTCGAAATATTTAGAACAAAATTAATGAGCTGTCCGCCTTCTTGGACTAATTCTTGACCTCATTAACTATGGTTTTCATGACGTCAGGAGATGGGTTAACCATATAAACTACTCTAAAATGACCGAGTAACAATCCAAAATTGTTTGAAATGTTTTTAATCATTTCTAAATTTCAGACAGCAACCAGATATGAAGTTTTGGACCCATATTGATCGCTTGCTCTCAAGAAAAAAAATTAGCATGACCCCTCTCTTGACGTAACATGCATATCCTCAATCATCCAAGATGGTGAACAGCTCACTTTTTTCAGTCAAAATATTTTGAAAACTAAGCAAGATATAAAAAATCTGTAATAGAGTTTAATATATAGTTTTAAGAGTTCTTTCAAATGAACTAAACTAATCTTTTATTGCCAATGTCCTTTTTAAGTATACATTGTAATAAACAAGGTTTTCAACGCATGTTAATTGAAAATGTTCACACATAAATTACAAATCACAAGGCAACATGTGTCGACATTTCTACTTAACATGCATTGAAATCAGATTTTGTTGCAAGTTGCAGCAATTTTGTTGCTTGTGTAACTCCAGTTAAAGTATTACAAGGTAGCTGATGGTGGTTTTAATAATTTAAAAGTGTTTTAAGAACAAAGTAAATCTCTCAATTTTATTAAATTAAGCTAACAGACTACCAAACTACTATGTACAGTACGGATATAATGAAAATAATTTTATCACTCAATCAACAGCCAGTTAATTAACCAACACCTAGGACATTAGTATGTTGTCATGCACTGAGTGAAAACTTTTTTATTGAAAGCCACTTTATTAGATAACAATAAACTAATTAACTCACTTAGGGGAAAACCCTGCTGCAGAAACACTAATCAGCAATATGTAAACACAATCATGATAATTTTTGAATTTCTTCAATCTGTTTGTAATATTAAATTCAGATTTTTCTTGCCAAAACAAAAGTATAAATGTAAATAAATTTATACCTTTGTATAATCTTGGAATGATAAGAAAAATCTGAATTTAATTAAAATCATAAACGATAATATGGATGTTGATTGAATGAATTAATATAGACTATTCAAAGTAAACAACATTACTCTTCAGTAAAGCCTCGTTCAAATGAGGATCAGAGTTAATGAGATTTGGTAGTCAAGCTTGACACTAACAAAATAAAGTTTTGATGAGCATTCCAACTATGTTTTAACTTACTATATGGAAGACATGATGGTGTTAGGAAAGAATTAAGAACAACTAACTAAGATTGTGTTATTGCCAATGCAATTCTCATGCCCTCTGCTCATTTGAGGCTTCCTAGGTGATAATTTTCCCCCCCAAAAATGTACACTAACCTGTGTGCTGGAACAAATGGAATATTGACAATAGGAACAGTTGGATGCTTCTCGGACAATCGTTTCCGTATCTCCTTGAGGTCTTTTTGCATCTTCTGATTGATTGGCGTGGCTTTGCTCGGCAGTACTTTCTCGTCGCCGTCATCCTCGCTTTCTCGGGTGCTACCGTTTGCCGACTGGTTGTTGAGACCTGGGCTGTGCACGTCACAAAACGCAGACTTCTTCACGGCAGGCTGACCTCCATCCGACCTTGTGGGTTCAATCTTCAAATGCAACCCTGCTTGCTGAGCGCATGTGACATGAAACGCAGTGTAGCAATTGGTTTTCGAACACTGGATACAAGCGCCTTGGGTCTTGCGGCAAATGTAACACCTCAACTTCCATCGAGCGGAAGGGATATTCTGAAGGGAGTCGATGGGTTCTAGGAATACAGTATTCGCAAAGCAGACCTCCGGGATCCAAAGTGCACAAACCACGTGTGCCCAACGGTTGTCATCAGTCTGTTTAAACGCTCCCGTCTTGTTCGGACACAAGACGCAATCTACCGGCTTTGAAGGTGAGTTGAGGCATCGCCGACAGAGCCACTGTCCCTCGGGAATATAGGGTACCCCATAGCACTCTTGATGTACGGCGAGGTTACACATGTCGCAGAACAGTATGACATTGCTGTTTGCACACTCGCCGTCATTACAGATGCAGCATACTGCATCCTCGTCAATATATTGGTTCGGATCACAAGTATTCTGGCTTTCGAAGTGGCTTTCCTTCTCCAAGCGATCCATGAGCAACTCGAATACATCTTGGGAAACCGTAGCAAGGCCCTCAGTTTTTCGTTTTTCATTCACAACTTTCAACCACTTGGCATCCTCGTCGTCCGCACTATATTCAACCTCTTCATCGAGCTCTTCAGATGTCCGTTCTATGAATCTGAAATATGTAGTGGATCTGGAAGGGGCATCAAGTTCACAGAATTCGTCATCCAGCCGAAAATCGGGTTTGGGCAAGCCAACTACAGCAGGCTGGACTTCGTTGCCAGATTTCGACTTATTTTTCGACTTAGATTTAGCTTTGGTTTTCGAGGTAGATTTTGGTGTTTGGCCGTCAGTTTCGTCTTGTCCGCCATTTTCGTCGTGTACGGGTTCCTCTAAGATACCAAGCGAGTCTCCGATATCTAGTCTTTGCAGATGTCCGGCGAAATCGAATTCCACCATTTTCTGTGCTTGGGCATACGTGAGTGTTTCGCGAACAACGGACGGTTGAGGTGGCGGTGACTTCGCTCGCTTGTTTTTCGTCCTGCCACGGCCTCTTTTCGTTTTAGTTCGCTTCGACGAAGGCGTACGTGTCGTGCTAAGCCGCTCGACGCCTTCATGGGGAAAGCGAAGCAAGTGATACTCTATACCACACCAACTCTTGTATACTTTTTCGCACACAGGACATACATATGGCGGCAGTGTGCCTTTTAAACTGCTCACAAGTTCACGAGCGCTTACCATGGTTAAACCAAATATTTCATTTAAAAAATACTCCTCGGGAGTCGACTAAAAGGCCATGCCAGCTTAGATAAAATACCTACGAAAAACAAAGGCAACACAAGGTCATTAGACCATCTCATGCCCTTCGTCCCCAAGAAAACAACTACATCGCTTCGGCTTCGCTTGAAACAGAAACCTAAAATTTCTAGCTCTTTTAGCCCTAAAAACATTACCCTTTGAAGACGTTATATATTAAAATAAAAGCTTACATTCGACTATTCTAGTAAGCTTTTCTCAAAAAGATCGGCCCGAAGCATTATCACCAAACGCGAAGCCGATTATGCAAGAAGGAACGCTTCCCGCTTATGGCGGCTTTGCTTCACGTTTGTGCCTACGCTTCGAGCTTCTTGCTCGAACATTTATTTGAGAATAACTACTATAATAGCAAAATATTCTAGGTGATAATGTCTTCTAGTATATTTTCTAAAATTTACGTATAAATACAGATGTATATGGCGAGATTTAGACATAAAAACGTTTAAAGATGACGACATACCCCATTCAAAGCGAAGCTTCTTCCCAGACCAAATTTATGAAGCGACAATGTCGACTTCACGAGCTTCTACAAGACTTCTATTCACTCCAATCGTGTTGTATTTTAGCTAAAAAGCAACTTCAACAATTAAATAGCTTTTGACGGCAAAATTCTGTACAGATACAACGAATACAGTGCGACAACGAAGGAGAAACGAACTTGTATACGCGGCAAACAGCTCAAAGACGAATCACGCCACCGCTGACGAAACGCCAAACAATAGCCAAGCTTTGGGCAACAAAACCTCTTCAACTGTCACACGTTTCCAAATTTTGAACAAAAAACGTTAATCTACGCTGCTAACCGTTCCTTTTACGTACACTTCTGGCTTGTTCACGATGCTTAAAGCCTTGAAAATTTTAGTCCAAACTGACGCTAATTTGAAAATGGGCGAATCGAAAACGCGGTCTGCACGCTCGTGTCGGCCCTGAGTGACGTGCCCCGAGAGCCCTCCCCATTGCGGGATTTCGATTGCTCAAAAACAGCAAAAATAATCACGTATTTTCCTATATTTTTACTCAAACTGAAACAACATTTTTTGTTTCTTACAGTAAATTTATAATCGCTACAGTTTAAAATGAAAGTTTGCGAATTGAATACCCATGGTTGCATAAAATCAGACGGGTTAATTCCACAGTGCCAGTGGGAGACTCGAGTTGCAAATTTGGAGCAAATTCCAGGAAAAGACTTTGTTTGCTACTAATTATAACGCTTCGTTTTGGATTTATTTTTGCTTCATGGCCAAAAATACAATAAACCTTTTAGCCAGCCAGCCAGCCAGCCCAGGTTGCTGTTTTTGAAGTCTTTCAAGCGCGCGTGCTGCTGAGAGTATTCTTGAACATTTTTGTAATAAAAAAATAAAAAAATATTCTTTTAAAAGCTCGCACGCTGGTTGAAAATACGATACCCGTTGCACTTTAGTTATGCAAAATAACTACATTGCAATATACTCTTTAAAACTAAACAGGTCGGGAAACTTTTTGTCGTGGTCCTTTGTTGTGAAAAGAATTCAAAATTTATATGCGTTATATTTCGCGCTTGATCGAGGCCGCGCTCAGGGGAAACCCCGCATAAACGAATGGTTTTCCCTGAGATTTCAAAACAAGCTCAGTCATTGAAGTTGCCTACTTTTAAAAGCTTTCCTTTCGTAATTATCGTTATCAGTTATATAACCGAATGATTTCATCCCACACGTTTGATTAAAAGTGTTCAAAATGATCTTATGTGCATAATTTCGGTATTTGTGAATTAAATTTGCCGCCACAGGCGTAACTCCGCAAGCATGCGCACGACCGTGGGTTAATTAGCAATGTTGACCGCAAATTTATACATTGTATTTAACACAATAGACGAGCTGTCAGGAAAAATGCCAGGCATAAGTAAGTTTCCAGAAGGCACAGTTCGCCCTTTTTATGAGCTTTTTGCTTGTTTTTTCATTAACTTTCTTGTATCTTGCCAGTTGGACATGAGAGATGATTCGTTTTCTGAAAATTTGCATATAATTATTCTCTAATTGTTATCGCTTATGGATGTTGTTGTGATATCAAAAACACATAGACCATATAGACACCAGAACTCAAGTATCATCCTATATAAATGCCCTTGGCCGGGACGTAGCGAAGCATCTGAAGTTGAGGGTGGGGGTGTCTGAGGATTTTACTTGAAATTTGAACTTCAATGTTAAAAATTTACCTGAAGTGTCAAATAATTTAATATAATATAGCTTTTTCTGATCGGATTCTCCAGGACTGCATTTCTGGCGTTTTCTAAAGGCAAATTCGCAAACGAAGATTCAAAGATCTTTGAGAGCAATCAGCTGTCGAAAAATTGCGAGTGTAAGCAACATTTTAACCCAGTAATCACATCCTAAAATGCGCCTTTTCGTCGATATTTGCGAAAATCTTGCTTCAATCAATTTATTTTATTAGCTAGGAAATCGTATAATC